TGGCTCAAAGGCCGCAACATAAAAAAGGAAACGAACACCAGATTGTTAGTGAGAAGAGGTTTTATCTTAAAATAGAATACCAGGTTGGCTAAAATAGCTGGTGCCACCAAGGCAAAGACAAGTGAGCTCCCTGGAAGCTTGCCTCAGGTATGCTTTTATCCACACCTGACTAGATGTGGCCAATTAGCACCAGCTGAACACATTGAGATGATTAGGGGCTGCAGAGGGACGTAACACAAGGCTACAGCAGGTGGGGAAGCATGCCTTCCAACTGCTCATTTCTTCTCTGGATTTCTTGAAGCGTATGCTGCAGGTCTTCGTGTATTTTCTCTTGTTGTTGCTTTTGCGCCTGCATTTCAGTGTTTTCGCGCTTCAAGTTGCTGAAGTTCAACATAATCCCCTTAATGAGCTCCGAGTTGTTTTTCGCCATTCCATTGATCCTATGCTGCATCTCCGAGCTTCGCTTTTCCACTTTTTCCTTCTCTCATTCTAGTTCGGTTGTTTTGTCCTTCAAAGTCACCGTTCCATCCATTCATGATGATGAATGGAGGGAACATGAATGTCCGCTAAAATAAAGAACACACTGTTCTTTAAGAACAATAAAAGACAGCATAAACCGAATACTGTCAGTGTAGAGCACAGGTGTCCTGCAGGTTTTAGATGTGTCCTTGAACCAACACAGCTGATGTAAATGGCTAAATTACCTCCTCAACATGTCTTGAAGTTCTCCAGAGGCTGGTAATGAACTGATCATTGATTCAGGTGTGTTGACGCCCTCGAGGCCTGGAGTTCGACACCCCTGGTGTAGAGGATCGACATAAAGGACAACTCATGGCCATCTGCTGACATCTTCTTGAATTCAGTTGTAAACATCCACACAGAGCAGCAGGTCAGCTGATCACAGCCTGCACATTAATAAAGTCTACTGAGTTCTCAATAGAAATTATTTTTGCGTTGTCATTCTTTTCCCCACGCTGAGCCATTGCAACCCATTTTAGGATTTCCCCACCTGCTCCATCCTACTTTAGCCCCTGACTGTGCACATTTTCCCGTTTAGAGGCAAACTCACTCTATGCAATGTAGGCAACAGAAAATAAAGAGATTGTTTTTCATTTTCATTTTTCTTTAGATTCAAGCTAAGTATAATCAGAATAATAAAATACTATACTAAAGTTTGTATTCCCATCTGCTGATTTTATTTTATCATTAGGTAATATAGCACAAGGTTCAGTTAGCTCTGGACAAAAATAGAAACGTCCTTCAAAAAGCTATTTTCACTTTCTTACTTTAAGTATATTTCACTGTACTTTTTTTTTTTAAATTTGAGTAGAGAAGTAGACTATTACTGGAGTATTTTTTAACAGTAGTATCTGTTCTTGTACCTAAGTACCAAATGTTTGCCATCTCTCTGACCAGAATCAACTTTTTGGGATTTCTTTACCTGGATGATTGAGCATGCATCGGGACAGCGTTTCACAGTGTTTTTCTATCCACAGTGGAACACTGCTGTGGAGGATGCTTTTACTGCATTGGCAGTGTCTTTGCAATCACCCTCATAATGAAAAATAAAGCTGTTGCCAATCAGCTTCTTTCCAGTTGATATGTACGGTGCATCAATTTTAAAATTCTTTTCTACATAAAACATGTTGCTGCTGATTTTTGGTCCAGTTCTTGTGTAACTTGGCATCTTTCATCCTTTGCTCCTTGTTTTCTGTTCTTACGAATGGCTTCTTGACAGCTGTCCTTCCACTGAGACCATTTCCGTAGAGGAACAGTGGATGGATCAACTGAAGGCCAGATGCATATCTCAGGTCCTGTATCGGATCTTTCCTGTTTCTTAAGGACACAACTTTAAGATGCTGTTCATTTGCTGTAAATATTTTATGCAGCCCTGTCACTTTTTCCTTTGTCTTCCACTTAGCCAGTTTCCAAACACTTTTGTTACTTTTCATATATTCAGCTAAAGAAATGAGAGTAAGTGATGTTTTTTTCTGCCTTTTCAAAATACTTTTTAGCCAGTTTGCAATTTGCACTAAAACAACTAAAAAGCATCTCAGTGGTGGGTTGCTGAAGGATTCTGGCGTGAGAAGAAGTGAGTTACAGCTATTTCATTGTCAAAGGCAGTGTGTCGCATCTCAACATGCTAGTGTATGTCGAAATAAAAACCATGATAACAAACCATCCCTCTGACTCCCTCTGACCCCTGAAGAACGGAAGAGGAACAGGGAGCAGGCAGCGGCACTGAGAGTGACTCTAAATGATGGGGACAATATCTGAGAGCGTGTAAATGTCACCATGGATCTTCTGGAGGTGTCAGACTGTTGAACACAGGCCCCCACGGGAGTATCATAAAAAAATAAAATGAAAATAGGAAAATGGCAGGGTAAGGAGGGAAAGAGTTTTAGGTCACATTCACATCAAGTGTGGTTAGTTCAGTTGGATTCTGGAGTGAACTTTTTTGGGGGGATTTTGTGCAGCAACATGGCTCCAACCACATGAGAAGGGAGTAAACGGTTGTCTGGCATGTCTAAATAAGCACGAGCACAGCAAACTACAATTAACGCAGCGTTCCCTCCAGACCAACAACTCATTAGTCCTGAATCACTCACACAGTATAAGCCCAGAGATAAATTCAGCACATAATAAATCGTGTTCGGCACGTACTCTCCGTGCGATCGGCTCCCGTCTCTATCAGACAGCTGCTGGCTGGTAGCTGCAGCTCGATAACAGCCCGGACTGTTTACTGATCCTCACAGGAAGCAGACACTCATACAAGAGTGGCCTCTGGATTTTGTGAGTAAAGTCCATAGCTTACGCCTCAGCATATGTAAGTGAGAGTGGCTGGGGGAGATTTAGCTATCACAAGGAGGAATGTAAATTGTCAAACATTAGTTATGTCTGCTCGGAGCATTTGTTTGAAACCGTATTCTCTACTCTGTGAAAGCTGCTGGTCCTCTAGTGTGTTCTATTTGCATTATTTTTCAATTCAGTTCACTTTTAATTTTTTATGGCGAAAATTCCCAACAGCAGTCGCCTCAAGGTGCTTTATATTGTCAAGTCAAACGACCCCATTTGAGCAAGCATTTGGTGACAGTGGGAAGGAAAAACACAAGGGTCAGGGAGGGGCAGCCATCTGCCTCAACCGGTTAGGGGTCCCCATTATAACCCATTATAATTTTTCCTTATGTTCCGCCTCTGAAATGTAAACCACTAAAACAAGTTTTCTATCCATCCTCTTCTTCTCTTCGGGGGGTGGTGGAGCCGATCCTAGCCACAAACAAAATTTTATTTAAAAAAAGAAAAAAAAAATAGGCCAGTATCCATAAAAGTCAAAAGATCGGGGTACAGACTGCCCGAAATGGTCCGCTTTACATTGTTGTTTTTTTCCTCTTGACTCTGTCTGACGTCAGTGAGAGTAGAAACGAGGCCCCCCTCGCCCGCTGCTCAAACCTATTGCCAAACCTGCTTAAAGGGAGAGTGCAGTGAGCTGAAACGTCTTGTTTTAGACAATGGATGAACTGAGAGAGTACACCCGGGTGCTAACTAAGGTAAATAGCTTAATAGTGAAGCATGCAAAACCATTTTAGCAGAGCCCAAGAATAAAAATGCAGCTAGAATTGCACATGATAGCTCACCTTTTCATGCAGCACTTTAAAATATAGTTGCTGGACACAGGCAATGAGCAATAATCTGTTGCAGCAACTCGTAGCCCTACACTTGAAAAAATGTTTTTCCTTTTGTTTCCAGATTTTTACAAGATCCAAAAGACAATTTAGTGCACGACAGCATCCACATTTGATCACTTATTTCATTGTTCAAGTTTCCTCTTTTACACGAACCCACAAAATCCATATTGGCTCTAATGAAACAATCAGGTATGAAATCTAGATTTGCTACATGAAAACACTGCTGTAGTTGGGAAGCTCTTTGTTAGGGTTTAGTTTGGTTACTTTTGCGGATAGTTAGAGGTTGGGGACTCACCACTGAGTTTTCCTGCTGTGCCAACTGTTTCACCGTCCCGTCACTTTGTCCAGCTTTTCCCATTTGTAATGTTGACAGCAGCCCAGCCTCTCTCTCCCTCACACACAGAGTAAACAGAACCTTTCACGTGAGATGTTTTTTCTGCACATGCTGATCAAAGATCTTTAGTGTCAAGCAGGATTCATAAGCTTTATTTTTTTCTTCGAGGAACACCAGGATAAATAAATGCATTTTTAAAAAGGGGCAACGTTTCAATTTAAACCTAATGTTTTAGTTATTGTAGTGTGACAGATGAAAAAAAACTAACTTTGCTTAATATTTCCCATAAGTGGCCTTTTTTTTTGGTTGCACTCGGGACTTGAACTGGAAACAAAAAGCCACAAAGCTCCCTCCCCACTCGTCTCCCCTGCTCATACGAACTGGAATCGTCTCATTAAGAAATTCCCAGTATGTCGTGTTTATAAACAGCCTCTTGTTCGTGTCTGGTGATGGATGGATGCGCCCTATCACTGACTCTTCCTGCTAACTCCCCAACATGTTTAACAATCTCTCTGCCACTGTTTCGCAATCACACACTATTCACCCCCCAACCACACACACACACACACTTACTGAACCCTTGATATGTTTTGTTCTGACCTTACTTCCTCTGTGGGTGGGCCCTTAGTGTTTTCAGTGGATTATATATGTTTAATAGTAAGAGAAAATGTGTGGGTACGCGTGGGTGTGCAACTCAGGGGTCAGTGTGAATCTGCTAATGAAGAAAAACAACAAAGCTGTCGAGGCCTCCCAGAAGCAGGTCAAACGCGGTCGCACTGGGGGTTCAGGTCAGCAGAGGCAAAGGCCAAAAGGTCATAATTAAAGCCAAGTGCAGACCTTGCCCTCTACTGGGTGGAAAAAAAAGAAAGAAAAAAAATGTGTGTTGTCAAGAAAGTAAACTGTTAGAGACGGAGAACCCCAGAGAGTTTTTTTTTCCTCCTTTCTCATCCTAAATGACTCAATAAAAAAAGAGACTTTACTCAAAGTGAAAGCAGCAGAGCAAATATGGTCTGGATGAGTTTAATCTTTTCAGTACTCTATCCCAAAGTTACATTTACCAGACCTGCAGGTACATACTTTTGTGCAAAACACTGAAGATGAAAATGTAAAACATGAAGGTACTGAAAATCTGTGCTAAGCGATGTGACTTCATCACCAGTGCAATAAAAACTGATCCAGACAAACAAATAAGCATGGCACTTGGTGCGACCACCAATTAAAACTGACCAAATACAAGTGACTTTTTTGTTCAGTTAGACATCACTACAGTCATGTGTACCCTCCCCGGAAAACACCGGATTCAAGTTACAGGAGGTATCAATTACAGAGATCAGGGCTTCATGCAGTGGTTAGCTAGCTGACAAATGGTTTGGCAACTTAAAGCACCAGAATAAAAGAGAAACCTCTCAGTGACATCATCACTGAGAGGTCACAGGATGTGTTATACTTTGCTACGGGTCCACCAAGCCTGCTTGATAGGAGATGGGTTTCAGTCCCTTGCTTGCTCACATGCAGCCGAGATGTTTTTACTAGAAATTTCAAGTCTGAGCTTGGAGACTTCAGTCTCAGGATGACAGCAGGATATTTTCATCCACGTCTGACACCCGAAACCTTTAACCGTCCCTTTAACGCTAAAAGTAAAACTCACTAAAAGTAAAGAACTTCAATTGCTGCTGTACTAATCACATACAAAACTTGATTGTAAACATTAAAGAGGCTGACAGCATAATAAATACATCTATAACACCAAGTCTCCAGTTCAGATCCTGATGGCGTCAGAAAGATGATTGTAAGGATCCGACTGACAGCGAGCATTCGGTCGATCGCCACCGATGAGCTCTGGCTGTTCTGGTTTAGCTCCTGATAAGAGGTGCTGTCTCATCGTGGTTGACTTCCACCCGTGGCCGAGCGTTACGGTACATCAGGAACTGGACAGAGATCTGGATCACAGCGTTAAAGAACATAAAAATGTTTCGGTTTTGTTTGTTTGTTTTTAAATGCAAAAGCAGACAGTACCAGAGGATTTCACTCAGAAGAGTACAGACTCCAGCTGCTTCCTTAATTACTCATTTCAGTGAATATTTGACCGCAAAGTAATGAAAGACAAACACCATAATTCATAGTACAAAAAATACAATCTACTATTCAGCAAACACTGACTCCAAACTGGGCTGAAGCGATCAACCAGCGTTCACAGAAACACGTCCACTATACCTTCCCATGTCCCAGTGCCGATTATGGGCTAGCTTTAAATAAGTTGCATAAGACAGTGACAGCAGAGATGTACCCCAAGATAAATATTTACACGCACTACCCACAATTAGGGAACCACACTGATCTGATGTTTGCTAAATGTCAGTCATCATCAGGCTGCTCCCTTCTGCACTGTCACTGTTAACTAAAAACAAAACAGCTTGTGGCTTCATTTCAACGCAGTGCAAAGAAAGAAGTAGCCTACAGGCTTCACTGAGGCAGCTTTAACTGACTTGTTTCTTTCCTAACCATGAACCCGTTTCCCTGCAACTATTAATATGCCATATTGTGTTCAATACACAATCAACTAATCCCCACTAAAGAGCTCTGCTGCCCTTCCGGTCAGAATTTCATAAATATGTGCCACATACATGCAGCAGAGGCATGAGGCCCAGCCTCCCCGTACATGTTTTCGCTTCTCTTAAAAGGATACAATAAGGTCTAAACTGAGGGTGCCGAGGCTGCCGATGAGCCAGGGCACGTGGTGGATCATGTAGCTGCTCTCACCCTGGCCCAGGTCAGGGTTCTTCAAAAGGACGCTTAGACCATATGTAGTGTTTCCCAGAATGACCAGCGCGAACAGGAAGTAAGAAACTCCCTGTGTCGACTTCCTCTTGAACTGTGGGGGAAAACGAGACAGCAGAAAAAGGAAGTGAGGAAAATGTTGTGTTAATTTATTCACTTTTATTTACAAAGGAATGGATGACATTTCAACAGCCAATAAGTACACGGTTAGATGGATAAAGTCGAAACACTTATAGATTTTCTTTTTAGTTTTTGAGCCATCTACCAAAACATGCAAGTTACAGTCTCAGTTTAAGTGGGTGAGCAAGACTATGTGGGTTTACCAACTAAAATGCAACTGAATCAGGCTGACATCAGGTAAGAGACGAAGCAGTAGTAGTATAGCGCTTTTTAGTTTCGTTTTTAGCAAGGGAAACGGGCCGTTTCACTTGCATTTTCTCTTGTTCAGGTACAGCAAATTTCTTCTTTCACTTTAGTAAACATTTGCGAGCATGCTTTAGCTTACATATTGAACTTAACTGGATAATATGCTTTATTTAAAAGATAATTTAAAACTTGGAGCAGTACGTAGTCATGGAAATACTACTCTTGCTTGCCACTAGGACTTAAATAACCTTGAGACAAATTAAAGTAATTTTTCCCTCTTTATAACATTGGATTACTGACTACTGCCTACACTTTGCAGGATGTCGGGCTGAATCCTTTACACATTTATACCAGACCGTACTTTGTCATACTCACATTAGTGTATATCTGTGGACCTCTGGAACAGAGGTAGAGGACTGATGACACTGACCCAATGCAGAAACCAATAATCTCTTTAGTGGTAAAAGGCTGAAGAAACAGAGGGGGAGATGCTACTTTACACACACATACAAAAAAAAGTTTTCTTCAAATCAGTTTAGCAAATAAACAGGACTCACTGTGATAGAGCTAGTGCTAGAGGTTGAGAGCAAGGAGCGACTTCTGAACCCAGAAGAAATGATTTCCTTGTGGGGGCCTACATCTGGGAGTTGGGTGAGGCTTGTGGCAAAGCATAAGAAGCAGGATACGCCAACCACGAGCAAACGCGTCCTGCCTGGTGAAAGGACAACATATAAGTTACTCAATCAATTGACCAGACGACACCTCATCACAGCTCATCAGATAAATACAGGGTACACAGATTAACCTCTCGTCACGTCGATAGCACACAGGTCTAAAGAGGCTACAACATTCAAGGAGAGGTATTGGTTCTTCTATTGAAAACTGCCGGCAAACCCCCCCCCCAAAAAAAAGCTCACCTTGAGAAGCTTTGTTCTTCAGCTTGTAGTACGTGTACATACTCAGCATGATCAAGTCAGCTGCAACGTAATAAATAGCTGTGTATTGCTGAATGAAAAGAAGAGAGACAAACAAAACGACACAGATCAATGGAAAAAAACGACTTTCTTAACACAGATTTAGCTGTTGTCATGGAATTTGCTTTAAAAAAAACAAAACAACAACAACAACAACAACCAAAAAGCAGTCTACAAATGCTGTATGGATCAGTATTTCTATGCAGCCCATTGCGAAACTAAAACAACATGACACAAATTTTACTGATCAAGAAATAGTTAGCTGACATAAACTTGAAAAGATAAGATAACCTTTATTAGTCCCACACGTGGGAAATTTGTTTTGTCACAGCAGGAAGTGGACAGTGCAAACGTTATGAAGCAAAAATTAGAATACAATAAGAATAAAATACTGTACACAACTGTACAGAATAGAATAAAATACTATATACAGTAGAATAAACAGAATAAAATATACAATAGGATAAAAATAGAATACAAATGCTTAATACAACTGAGTAAAAGTACAACTTTGTCAGATAAAGAGTATCGCACTTAGTGTTATGGCACATGTGTGGATGTGTGTGTTTGATCAGTTGGAGTCTTTGTTGTGGAGTCTGACAGCAGTGTGGAGGAAAGAACTGCGAAATCTCTCCATCAATGACACAAAAATGACACATTTTCGGTATTACACTGCAAACCACACAAAGTTGTTTTGTTTTTTTTTGGGGGGGGATTGAATAAAAGAAAAAACCAGTGACACATAATTTCTGATGTTTTACAAACATCACTGAGCATCCACCACTGCTTTTGATATTTTCTACATTAAACTCCACTTAAGGATCACATCCCTACAACTTACCTGAAGCGGAAGCTGATCTGCCAAAAATGAGCCAATCAGATTACAAGAGTCACCTCCCAACCACAACAGCAAAAACCAAATGGAGAGCGCTTGATCCATATTCCCACTTTTCCACGAGTTGTAATACTGCCTGTAATCAGAGGCAGTATTACAATCAGCATTACTGATCTGACTATTCAGAGAGAGATGAGATGGAAATATACAGGTCACTTAGTTCAGTTAGGGTTTGCTCAGAGTCACAGACACCAACATAAAAACTTACGGAAATGAAGACACCAGGAAGCAGAGGATGGACAGGAGGCCCAGGTAGACGCTGGCCATATCTCTGGCATCTTGGGCACATTCCCCAAGGCCCTCCCAAACCCATTTGGACCCATTAGGACACAGAGAAGTGAAGTTTTCTGAAGTAGTCCATCCAAGGGTGGCGCGTGTGAGGACTCCGTCTGTGGACATTGTTCTTCAAGCTGACCGACGCCTCTGTAAAAACAACACCTTCAGCTTATGAAACCAGATCTTCACTACACAGTCACTATGATAGCACAAGCGCGGAGGACACTACCGACAACATCACATAAGGACCTCAAACTACATGCCGTTCGAAACAAAAATGAAAACAGCCGCTTCACTTCCACATTCAGCTAGCATCGCCCTAAAACTATTTTCAGACGTAATACAAAAACAGATAACAAGAAACGGTCTGTTAGCTTAAGCTGCTAAGCGGCAGCTACCTGATAACCGTTTACTGGATCACGTGCGCGGCTTTTACGTGGATAACATCACCAAACGACCCCACTCATAGTAAACAAAGTGCTAAATTTATCTTGCCTGGGAGGTGTCGGCGAAGACCTCAGAAGAACAAGTCAGAAATGGCAGGTAAAAACGAAGCAAGCGAGAAACAAACAGGTTCAGTGTGAGCTGATTGGTGGAGCGTCAGAGCCGTGAGTCACGAGTCACGAGTCACGTGATTACATACTCGTCATATGACCTGCGGTGCAAATTAAATGAGCTGGTCCTTTAAAAAACAAATTCAGTTTGACCCAGACGCGTTAACGCATTGATTTTAAACCAATATAATTTATCTGTATTTTGGTTATTTATAATGTCGACAAATTATTATATAATAAATAATTTTCTGATTCACACAATTTAGTTGTGAAAAGTGTATTTAGACGGAGGGACATGCTTACAGTACGTTTTCCCGTTATTGTCACATACCTGCAGAAGTGAGGCTCACACATTTCACATACTCTCATCACATATTGCCAAGTCCTGTTAAAGTGGTTCATTTGCCTACATTAGTTATTCTAGCCTTTGTAGTAGACCACGTCACCAATAAATTTACTGCATTTGAGTAAGCAGCATACACACGATAATTACATCAATACAAGTTAATCCTGCTGTATGTTAGAAAATAAAATAAAATGAACTTTAAACTTCGACAGGACAACTAAGGCAATTTTATTAGAGGTGGCAAAATAACCTAATATTATAATAAAAATATTTCTAAACATTTGCATATTCCGCAACTAAATCCTACCTGAAAAGCACGATGAACTCCAACGTCAGATTTTGAACGGGAAAGCAGAGAGAGGACTCATTTCCTATTTTTTATTTTTTTTTAAACACTCCACGATAGCGTCAGCTGACTGTCAGATTGGCGACTCAGCATCTAAAGTCTCTGTTGTCAGCTCGCGTGGCTTTTATTAACAGGCTTCCTAAGTTTCCGATGTCACGTGGTCCTCGGAGACCAGTTTAAGCCATGAGGAGACGCTCAAGTTTTATGTGTCAGTCATTACAACACGAAGAAACGCTGAGGTCGGTGTCGGACTTCCTCTAAAGGAACAGTGCATCAACTCAAAAGAATCTAAGAGGAAATTATTCCTTTTTACTGACTGAAGTCTGATTAATGCCTTTCAGATACTTTAATGTAGACCTGGAATGATGAAGGTTTTAGGTTAATAGAATAGTTACTCACTCCTTTAGTTAATGAGCCTGCAGCTTTAGTAAGCCTGATGATGTGCCAGAGTAAATTATTGACTGCTGATGTTACAAATGTATCAGATATTGTCTGTATAGTCGCTATTGTTGCCGGTAAACGTCAGGCTTTTTGTGCTTTCCTTGTGACAGGTGTGTAACTGGACTGGAGGCTTTCTATAAAGAAATGTAGCTGTGACTGCTGTGAGCGGCACCATTCTGGACAAAGGAATATCCTGAAATCCAACCCGTAACAGGTCTAAACTAGAATTAGCCGTCATCATAATGACAATACAGCAAACTCTGATAACCTCAAATCTATTCCACACAACACATTCTCTTTGTTATATTTCAAGAACAGGTTTTATTGATGACGCAGCCAAACATTAATACGGCAGGAACACCTTCAGTGGCTAGATTCTCTTATTTACACAACGTTTCCACAAAGTCATACAAATACTTGGTAGGCTTCTTGTCAAAGTATATATTTAATACATTAAACAGAACAGGGGGTTTCTTTGTTTTTATAAAGCAATTGTCACAACAAATCTACATATGAAAACGGATGATAGAAAAGAAACAACCTTTTCCTAACTACTGCAAAACAAGTTCTACTTCAAAATCTTTCCAAGCGAATCTGAATGTCCATGAAATAATAAGGGAATGCAGCTCTTCCATCTTTCAGTCCGTAAAGAGTTCTCAGAAAAGCAGATGTCTAGTGTAGTTGAGAGCAATTCTTTCAAAAGCCAAGGATGAAATAAACCAAGCTTCTTTTACAGAATCTCTCATCTGTTTTTTGTGTTTCCTTTCTCCAAAGAGAAGTGTGGGATATGAGGAAGGCAGTTTTTCACTTCTCTCATTTCCTTCGTGATGAGGGTCTCACTTGATGTGGACCACTTTCTCATCCGTTTTCAACCGTTTGCGTCGGGGCTGTATGAAGTCGTCCTCGGAGTCGTCTGTATTGTCGTCCTCCTTTTCTTTTTCTTGCGGAGATTCGGGTTCAGCTGTTTCAGGAAAGCTTTGGCCTGGGAAGATCTCCTGCAACTTCTCCTCAAAGTACAGGCTCACTGCCTTGCCGGATATCGCCATCTCTGATCCCACCTGTCAGAGGAGGAAGAGGAGGAGGTGGGAAAAGGAGTGACATGAAGGAAGATTGTGTGAGAATGCCATTGGACAGAAAGAATGAATAGGTTGAAGCGGGAAGGGGAAGAGGAGAATGAGGAGACAAATTAGATCTGGTTAAGACTCCTGATGGCGGGGTAACCCCGGCTCAACCTTGATGTACAGAGCAAGGATTTCCTGCCTCCCTGTCCCACTGTGGCTCCCTGAAGTATTTCCACAATAAATGGAAGTTGCAAAGTTTTAGTGATCTAATCAGCCAGTAGGGTCAAATATAGTATCTGAATATTTAAAGGTTGTTGAAATCCTCAGATGCTCACTATATGCACAAAGCACACACGTGCATGTCAAATAGAAACAAAAAAGCCGAAATGTAACAGCCTCCACCCTTTCCAAACAAACAAACAAACAAACAATAAAAAAAAAGTAGTAGATAGGCACTGGATGCTCTATGGCTTACACGATAAAACTAAACAGACTTGAAGCCATCAACAGTCAAACAGAAACACTTTTAAACAGATTTATTTTGATTCTCCAAACACCCTCTCATCTGACATACTTTTCTAAACAGTGCGCAGTCAAAATGACACTTTAATCTTCATACATCATCTAAGGAAATTCTCTTCTCTTTAATAAAGGGGTACAACTTTTCTTGGAGCCTCAGTGGGAGGGGGCAGGAGATCTGCACTCCATTTGAAACGGCTTACCTGTGTATTAATCTGTTTCTCCTCATCATAAACCTGGATTATTCGAGACATCTAAAAAGGGGCAATAACATTACAACAAAGACAGTGAAGCAGCAGGGGGAAAGAAAAGAGTTCAGAGCATAGGCAGGTAAAATAATAACAGATCAGAAATCTGTTCGGGCCTTCTGTGCTCGAATACAAAAGTGCGTATCCCCATTACTGCAGAAATTAACAGCAGGTAAAGATCGCACAGGATACAAGAAGCCACACGCAGCTAGTGATAACTTTAGTAAATACAAGTTTAGCTCTCTGGCATCTTTTTTCCTGTATCAACAACAGTCACATTTCTTGTTTTAAAGCCCCAATTTCAATGTAAGTTTACATTAAAATGTAAATCGTACAGAATGCAATGAGAGTTATTTGTAAATCTCATAAACACAAACAGTGAAACACAGAAAACATCAAATGTTCAAACTGAGGAATTTTACTGTTCCACAAAACAATATTAGCTCAATTTGAATTTGATGGTAGCAACATCTTTTTTTTTTTTTTTTAAAAGAAAAAAAGAAAAAAAGAAAGTTAGGACAGGACCATGTGTTTCAACAATAATCTGCAAACATATGAGAACTGAGGAGAGCTGCTGCTGGATGTTGGGGAGAGGAATGGGAGAGGAATAAGCAGTCCCATTCTTATCTCATGGAGGACTGTAGCCTGCTCAACAGTTCTCGAATTTCATTGTCATTTTCATTTCCACTTTGTCTCACTCCATTTTAAATGAGCGTTGGCCCTGAGGAGACAGAGTTTCTGGATCATGTTCATATGATTTTTTTTTCCATATGTGTCAATTTCAATGTCATCACCATTTTTAGTACCACTTTCTCTTCCAGACCTTTATTGGCCCCATCCAAGCTGTTTTGAGACCTGTTGCTGACACCAAATTGAAAATGAGAAAATAAGTCCCAGTTTAAACATTTTATGTTTTCTATGTTCCATTGTGAATGAAACATGGGTTTATGAGATTTACAAATAAATGCATTTTGTTTTGGTTTTTTTGTTACACAGCATCCCATACATTTTTTTAAACTGGTGTTCTTTCTCTAACAGAAGCACATCTCTGATGTCTCAACCACTGGTATGTAATAAATGTATCTTTGGAAGCGACCACAGCATTTAACATGGGCACATATGCCATCAAGCAGCAGTGAATTCCTAGCTGGTCACACCTTTACCATTTTCCTCTTTCCTGACTCTCCCCGTTTCCCAGCTATACTCACTTCTATCCAAATGAAGACAAAAAAAAAAAAATGCCAAAAACGATAAACATAACTATAAATGAATGACCTAACTTTATATTTTGCGACTATCATAATCACTGGAATGACTCACTGATATTTGGCAACTCTCACTGAAAACCAGAAAGTATTACATTCCAGCTAATCACATGATGTTTTGACCAACATCCTTCACAAATGAGAACCATACTTGCTGTTAATTTCAGTCACATTATATTACACTGCATCTATATAGTGAAGTCATGCTACAAGGCTCAGTGTTCACAGTCAATATTACCCAGAACTGTAGTCCAGACTTCCTGATAAACCACCAGCATTTCAGTGCCACGAAACAACAAAAATAAATACATCCATGTGTAAAAATGCATTATTTCTCCTAAGGAGAATGTAGATGAACATTATGTGAACTGTATTAAAAATAAACAGGTAATCACAGCCATCCATTAAAAAACAAAAATGTGGGGTTTCATTATAACGCAGACGGTGTTAACAGTCACACGGTGTTCTTGCAGCCAGTGTAAAAAGAGCACAGTGACACTCACTCCATCCTTCAACAGCCAGTGTAAAAAGAGCACAGTGACACTCACTCCATCCTTCAACAGCCAGTGTTAGTGTACGAAACTGAACACACTCTACCTAAACACCCAATTTCCCCTCGAAATACCAGGCAGTGTTCATAATCAGGTTAGACAAATATGACGGTTTGCCTTTTATTGTTTGACCATGAAAATGGTCAAATAATTCAATTTTTTGAATCGGCAGGCAATTCAAATATCAAACCATATCAGTCTAACCCACGTCTGCATGCACACACAAGCAGATGCCATTCCCTGAAGCAGTCTCAAGACTCATGCTGCTCACCTCGTTGTATTTCGCACAGTTTTTG